ACAAAACAGATACTACCTAAACTCCCCCCTAGTCTTCAGGTGCTACTTATGGTGGGTGTTGTGTTCTAATATACTCCTGCCAATAGGGGGCGCAGTGTAACCAGAGTATACATACAATGTTGAGAGAAGAAGAGTAAGCCCGGGAGTTGATGCTCCACAGCATCAACTCCCGGGCTTACTCTTCTTCTCTCAACATTGTATGTATACTCTGGTTACACTGCGCCCCCTATTGGCAGGAGTATATTAGAACACAACACCNAACTCACCTCTTCAATCTGGCTTTTAATGTGTGATTGTTTTTGTATTGTTTGATTTTTATTTGACTTTAACTATATATATTTATTTGTTGTTCTTTTCTTTTCAGTATATCTGTAAAGCGTCTTTGAGCACCTGTAAAAGTGCTAACAAAATTAATATATTATTATTATTATATGTGGCCTTCGGAGAAAAAAGTTTGGACACCCGTGGAGGTTAAGGAGGATTTCAAAATGTTTCTCCATCCTTCTCTTTTTAAGTTATTATTTTGGAACAAAAGCCCAACGTAGTATGACCCAAGAGCACTAATGTGGATATGTCCCTGAAATATATTATAATACAGTTACAATGACATCTCTTCCCCATTCATTCATGCATGGCCACACCAGATGGATGGACTGTGATGAGGAGGGATGATATGTCAAGATTCTACTGTTAAAATCATCTATAATAAGCAAACATCTCAGCCTGAAAATGAAGAGGTCACCACCATTTATCGTTAACTAGCTGTTAACAATCACAAGCTAATATCAAGTTATCAGTTCCTTCAGAAACACACACATGGTTTTAAAGTTACAGTAAAGATTTTACATTCAGTTACAGCTTATTGACTGATGTCTGGTAGAAATGTTCTCCTGTCTGCTGATTATACAACATCTGATTCGTATGCATGTCCATGAACTGTATAATTATGACAAGGAGACCGTTTATGTGATGTCAAGATTAGAATAAAATGAAGCTTGTTAACCTGAGACCTGTATCATCTTCCACTTGTCTCCACTTCACTCTGGAAATCTGAAATTACTGGCAACAAAGTGACTCCATGGGATCACTTTTCTGGGTGCAGTTACATTAAACATGTTCATGTAGTTTTCAGCAATTTAGAAGTGGTTGTTCACTCAATGCAGGACTGTAATAATATGCAAAGAGACTCTTATGAGCCAGGCTAAATCTCACATGAGCATTTCGAAATACAGCATCTTTAACACCACCACTTATAGCCGAGTATGCTTTCAAGAGTTGTTTAAGTGCTACTGATGTTTAAGGCAAGTTTGCAACAGAAATAGCTTCTCTCCCTCAGAAGCGTTAGCCTATGCTGTAAAGTTTAGATCCGTTAAATTTCACATTTCTAAAGCTATGACTTCAAACCATGCGTATTAAGTATTACAACAGGAGAGATACAAAGCAGATTGTATGAAATACAATGACGTTTGATTTAACACTGAGTTTGTTTACTTGTATTTAAGACATCAAAAAGAGAATACATAGAAAATATAGTGATTATAAGAAAAGTTGCAACACTCAGCTAAACTACATTAATCTGCAAGTATTGAACAGCAGGTTTACACTCATAGCATTCTTTGTTATATTTATTGCAGTGTGTGTAGTAGGGCTTATATATTTCCAGGTTTTGAAGGAATACATTGGATAATTTACTTCATTAAGGAATGTTTGGTAAAAATACAGAATTTTAGGTCATTTAATAGGATATTATAAATAGGTAATCAGCTAAATACATCTATTCAAATCAAAAGCAGCCATCTTTTTGTATCAATTTATGATTAATTATACATAGGCCTATAGTTTATAATGTGGAGTTCATGTTAATTAATTAATGCCAATACACTGTGATTTATAAACTCATCATATTTTTCATTTAAAATGTTCATCAGCAGAGTAAATATAGCCTAATACTTGTCAAATATTTATAATAAGGGAATAATATGTTATTTTGTAATAAAAAACTAACTCTAAAGTAAAACAATGTGTATAGCTAAACTCAAAAGTTTGACTATTCAAGTACAGTGCTTCAATAAAAGCAGTTATTAATATTTTCTGTTTCTCCACAGTGTTTCCACCGGGTGTCTGCAGCGGGACTCACTGACCTGCTCCCGGCCGGTCTGGGACCAGCTCCACCGGGCCTATCTGCCGCATCATATAGGCTGTCTTCACCTCATGACAGCTGTCCGCATCGGCTGATCCGCAGCCAGGGTCCGGGAGGAAAACGCAATACAACAAAATCACCCACAGCAAGTCCGCGTTTTGTAAGGCTGCACGGAACATCGCAACATGTCAGTGAGGAGATAGAAAGTCTGGCTGGTTAATATGAATTCCTAAAAGTCCCACGGTGCAGTGTGACTGAAAAACTTCATCTGCAGCCACTATGTCTGTCTGGAGCCCACCGTGAGGCTCAGCCCCCTCCCCTCTCTGACTCTCACTCACTTTAGCCCAATTAGCCATCTTAATTGAAATGTGAACTCAATATACTTACAAAATACCGCGTAGTTTGAAAACGCGTGTTTCCTGTACAGCAGCTGCCAACATAACAATAACTTATTACAGATAAGAAAACGAGCAATAAGATAATGACAATAACAATTATATGGAATTAAAGTAATTCCGATGTATTTAGTTGTGGGCTTAAAAAAACATGTCGTCATGGTTTTCATAGATAACTTTTGCAGATCTTGTCAATTAAACTTGACTGATAGTTGTGAGTGAAGTGGGATTTAGGGAAACACTGTTTAATAATGAAACGTGGGCGCCACCTGTTGGTCTGTTTGGATCATAGCAGAGGCATTTTAACAGCTCCTGGAAAAAAGAACCAAAATATTGTCTAATAAAATTAGATGTTGTCAACACAAACTCATACTAGACGGCTAAAGTAACTTGTTAACAGTAAGCTATGGCAGGAAAACATGTACCAGTGCCTTCAGTTTCAGGAACGTTAGTTTACCTTTGCTTACGTTACAATTTGGGCAAAAACATAATACGGCATTACTTCTACCAAGAAGCAATTAAACTGGCGTTGGGTAGGTCCCAGTTGGTTTAAGTTGACAAAGTAGCTAACGCTCAAGTTGCACCTTATTGACGTTTCGCTGAAGATACATCACATTAAGGGGTGCAGTCAGTGCTTACTTTGTTTAGTTAAGTAGCCAGCAGGCACACCTATGAAGCCCTGGCGTGAGAGGCTCTGTCCAATGTCACCACGCAATCTGATAGGTTTACGTCCATTGTGATCCTACGGCGTGATTGGTTTAGGTTTAGGCACAATCTCAAATTGGACTGCAGTGCAAAGTATTCTGATTAGATGAGGAAATTGGAGATTGGACAGCAGATCCTGTAGCCGTGTCGAGCACCCCTTGTGCGAACATCATCCTCACAAAAAGTGCCGGATTATATGAAACAAAAACACATGCCCCGTGTGAGGCTCGAACTCACGACCTTCAGATTATGAGACTGACGCGCTGCCTACTGCGCCAACGAGGCCCTGAAAGCGGAAGAAAGCAAGGTTCTATTTTGTAATTCTTATTATTAAATAATGATTGTTATGATCTATTTTGAGGCGTACTCGTAGTACAGTATATACGGGATAAACAGGGGGACCTGTGGGACACCCCGATGTCTACTTGTGAAAAGCTTGTCTATCAAATCGAGAGGTATTACTCCACTCTAATTTCAAAATAATTGAGGGTGAAGTTTTCGACACGCTGATTTAGTTATAGCTATCCGATGAATTACGATCAAGTCAAATGTGTTCTTAAACATATAAGTACATAACATTCAAGTCAAGTCAAAAAGTCAAACAACTAAACATCTATTTGTTATTACCATAGACTGTATATAAAGGTTATTACCTATTGGTTGAGCAATCTAGCATGCGAGTGTCCATCGTGTTTCCTTTCACTATCGTAATTATACCAAGATTTGACCAATCAGAGGCCTCCCCCAACTACCAAGAACTGAGAAACCAATAATCTTATGTTCCCTCTCATGATTTGACCAATCATGTAGAACTACCAAGACTGCCACCTGCTTTGAGAGTCGCAACTTTGGTCGGACTGACATACTTTGTTATAGTCTGGTAAGTGCATTGCCATTTTGTTGTAATATCAGTGGTGTAGTAGTCGTTGGACGCGGGGGATCGCCGTCCCCCCACTTATTTGGAGCCAGAGGTCCACAGAGGTCCACAGAGGTCCACAGTGTACCCCCCCCCCTCCCCCCCACACGTCATCTCGCTTATTGAGCGTTTGCCTAGTTTTCTAAGCAAAAAAACGAAAGAAATTATTTACTTTCTCTCTTTTGAATGATATTTCCCATCAAATTAAACAGCAAACGAAATATGCTTCTAATTACAATTTCCTATACATATATAAACGTAAATTACAATTAGCCAGCATTAAATCACGGCCATTTGTCTCTTCATATCCAGTTTAAATTATAAAATAGTACTATGTTCAGGCCAATGCCATTCATATAGCCTACGTCGGAAATCATGATGAATAGTGTTTTTTGTTAAGCGATTCGGCAAGGCTGGAATCGTACCAGTGTCTGGCAGAGCATTTGTGCCCATGTAAAATGAGAGCAAACCATTTTGGTAATAATAACATTATAAATAAACGAGTTCAACATCGAAATCACACAGTCGACATTCCACCAAAGTAATCTATGCGTAAAAATAATATATAGGTTCTCATATGCTAGATCACATAGGGGCACCAGCTCAGGCAAAGCATCTACAACCTAATTCATTTAAAATTATATTGATCGAATAGAAAATTAAACACAATATGCACTTGGTATGATTTATGAATGTTATGTGCCAATCAGTACACCGCTAACATGTTTTTCTTTGACACCAAGTGTTCCGTACGCTCTCTCGATTCTGTTGTTTTCCCGAAGCGTCCTGAATGCATCTTGATACTTGCTGCGGCCCCTTTAAATCCAATCTCCCGCGTTCTAAGTTAAGCGGAAATAGGGAGCCGTCTTTCCTCTATTTAAGCGCGCCAACAAAGACCCTCAGAGAAGGCAAATCTGTTATCGTCCACCACACCGTACGTTTTGTTTCACTCCACCGTGTATCCTACCGTCCTGAAAAAATGCCAGAGGAAATGTCAGCCGCGTCAATCTACGGGAGGTATGACTCGTTTCATTTCCTCACTGTCTACCGTACGCTTGGAAAACACAGCTAGGTAGCTTTTAGCTTGATAACACGGTTAACGTTAACTTCCTTGCGTTGTTGCATGACATCTTGGGTTGCTTACTAACACTCAGTGGCTGGTTAAATGTATTGAGTGCTGGCATAAAGTGCGGCTAACAAGCATCACTTTCACCCTTGTGTTAGGCTAGTATGCTAACACGCATACTGTGCTAACAACAATAAAGCTCAGCTAACATGTCAAGACTTAGCTGAAATTAAGAGTCAACAGTAATGTTTAGGTGTGTCGACTATAGTTATACTTCAGAATAAGGGTAGTTGGCTTGTATTTGCATTAACCTAACTCAAGTGTGAACTTATTTGACTTGCAGTGCGGAGGAGAAGCCGTGCTCCTCCTCCTCAACCGCAGCTGCAGCAGACAGGTGAGTGTCCCCACGGAAACCCCCGCCGATCTCTAAACATTACTATTCAACTACTTTAGATACACGTGTTTTTGTTTCCTCACTGTAGCTCTGTGGACGTTGCCGAGGAGGCAAAGAAGCTGATTGGCACCGGGAACAGGCATCTAGTGATGGGAGATGTTGTTTCTGCTGTCAGTGTCTTCCAGGACGCCTGCAGCATGCTGTGAGTGCATCCATAGCGAGGCAATGTGACTGACTCAACATGGCAAACTTTCAAAACACTGTTTACAACTTTATATAAAAACAAAATAGGTAGTAGTATTCCCTCTTACTAGTTTTGTTTTGTTTTCTGGTGATCTACATATATTAAAGGTATGGTAGGTAATTCACTTCAGAAACACTTTTTGTTATATTCCATGGAATGCTCTTAACATCCCGATAGCAATGAATACATTAAATGCTTTGACAATAAATATTTCATCTATGGAGGCCGTGGCGCTGTTAAAAGCAAAACCAATTATCTGCCTCGGCCTGCAAGGCCATACATATTATTATGTAATACAAATATTTGTTATTACCTAACAACCAGCTGTACCTTGATTACGATCAAACATACTCCACCTAACACTTCTGTTTATCTGCCAGGGCTGCAAAGTATGGGGACACTGCAGAGGAGTGTGGCGAGGCCTTCTTCCTGTGTGGGAAGTCCCTCCTGGAGCTTGCCAGGTATGATCATTGCATGGCCTTCCTTCTAAAACTCCATACTATATTAAGTCATGTTGATGAACATTGATATACATTTGATTATTGTTGCATCACTGTGTTAAATGTTATGTACTTTTTTGTGTATGGCGGAACCTTTAGACTTCAGTGTAACCTCAGCATTGACAGTTCAAAGGCCGATTGCTCTCTGGCCAAATGTTGAATAAGGTTCTGAGTGACATTTATGGACTTGACACTCTTTTTCTTTTTTTGATTTGGTTAGGATGGAAAACAGTGTGCTTGGTAATGCCCTGGAGGGAGTCCCAGAAGAGTCTGAGGAGGAGGATCAGCCGAACAACTCAAATATCGAGAGTGCCAACAATCTTGATGGTCAGTATTTATTAAAAAGGGTTGCCAGGTAAAGGGGGGCTCTATCTGAAATCACCCGAAGTTTAGTCTTGTATTGGCTTGTTTTAATAATGACATGTTTCTTTACGTTTGGTAAGACTGAGCTGACATGCAAATACAGTAAAACCAATAAAATACAACTTTAACTGCCACTAAAGACAAACAACATTTAACAGGCTTCTTACGGTCATTAAAAAAACCTGGGAAAGTAATGGAAATTCAAAATGCTAATTCCAGGCCCTGGAAAAGTTATGGTAAACAATATTTTTCCCAAAGTTTAGGAAATGTAACTAAAGTTGCATCAAATATAATTTATATTTTATCTAATCGCCGAAATAGTAATATGATAATACATACTGTATCATAATGAAATGTAAAATGGCATTTAACTGTCGTGGTATTTTTCTTCTTTTCCTGTTCCATGTTAAAATAACCCATTTTCAGTGGTACCGCTGAGAGTAATTGTGACTGTATGAACCCTGATTTTTTTATTTTTTTTTAAAGTAGCGTTGGGGTAGCAATCGCTCCTTTTCCCCTCTTGAGTTGAAAGCTTTCTGACAAGTGTTTGTCAAAATTGACTGAGCTTGATGGTAAATATCAAATGTAAACTTATTCTTCACATGACATTCGTGTGCAGAAGAAACAAGAGATGACCTACGAAAGCAGGTTTATGATGCAATGGCGGAAAAGACTGAGCCAGGTGACATCGAATTGGAGTCCGAGGAAGGAAAGGGCACCCCTGAGGTGAAAAAAGAGAACGGTGTGGTGAATGGATCAAGTTCCCCTGTGAGTGAGAAGGAAAAGGGTTCAGTTCAAAAAGTGAACGGAGTGGAGAAGAGCCCCGGTGCTCCTGTCGATGGTGTGGCAGAAAGATCCACTGCAGCCAATGGTGTCAAGGACTCAGGAGAGCAGAACGACAAGAAGACCAATGGAATGCCAGAGGAAGAAGATAATGCTGAATCCAAGCCAGAGGATGAACAGGACGAGGAGGAATCAGAGGGCAGTTGATGTTCTGTTGCAGAGCACTTTGGTGTGGCAGGGTGGAGCACCATCTTGGCGTTTCATTATATTTAAAACGGGTCACATTAAGGTGTTACAAAAGGTGACGGGGAAACTCACTAGAGCAGTTCTAATGCACCCTTTGGAAAACACTTAAGTATTTGCCTTGAGCTTCAGTCACGACTTGGGGAAACTGGCTTATAGCCCTTTGTAATTATCCTCTTGCTCAACAGATGATGACGATGATGATGATGAGGATGGAGAGCAAAATGGGCAGGTAAGTTCCCGTTCTTTGTTTTCTCTTTTTAAATGATTGGGAATATTTTTGCTTTGATGTATGCCCTCTTCTTTTCAGGAAGAGGAAGAAGTTGGCAATTTGCAGTTGGCCTGGGAAATGCTGGAAGTAGCTAAAGTAATCTACAAAAAGTAAGGGCAACATTGCTGGATGAAGCGAATGAGTAAAAACAATGGCACAACATTTTAAACATGTGGCTAAAAAGATTCATACTGTCCATGAGAGTTCAAGCAGGTCACTTCATACAAAGTCAGACTTTTAGGACGTTATATAATGTGGCAAAGTGGTCTTGCCGTTGATTCAGTTTCTTCACCACCACAGAAAGGAAGGCAAAGATGACCAGCTGATGGCAGCCCAGACATATCTGAAACTCGGAGAAGTCAGTGCTGAATCGGGTACGTTTCATGTAGCATTTCCAGGATGGACTTGTCACTTTTACTTGTTGGCCTTCCTTTTCCCTCCCCTCAAAGAACATCTTAATGTTAATACTGCCGTGGCTTGTTGAATTTTTTTTTTTTTGCTCTTCACCAAACTTTTGTTTTATCCATAATTATTGTTGCCAAGTTAGGGTTCAATAGTGTTTCACCACTATATACAGGTTAAAATATATTGCATTCACTCAACATACCAGTAACATGAACATATAGCAAATGTCATTTTCCATTAGAGTGGCAACTAGTACCATTGCAGAGCCAGCTAAATGTGACCCTATTGTCACGTGCTCCCTTCCCCAGGAAACTATCCCCAGGCGCTAGATGACTTCCAGGAGTGTCTTGCCCTGCAGCTGAAGCACCTGCCCCCCCACAGCCGCCTGCTGGCTGAGACCCACTACCACGTCGCCACCACACTGTGCTACATGGACCAGTACAGCCAGGCCATCCAGCACTACAACAACTCAGTTAAAGTCATCGAGACCCGTCTGGGTAAGATGTCTTTCTCTGCAGACGTGCTTTTTTTTCAGAGCCGGGTGTCTTTATCTTTTTAGTTGAGTGAAAATAAGCTTACTGATAGGCTATTCACAACAATACAGCACTGCTTCTAAAAGTTGATGGCAACTGTGGGTCTGCAGTATTCCTGTTATGTTTTATTGTACTCATCATACATTGTCTGTGTATAGCCATGTTGCAGGAGGCGATCGACGCAGCAGGTGGTGCGGCTGAAGAAAAGAATGAGATGGACGAGCTGAAGCAGCTTCTGCCCGACATCAAGGAAAAGGTGGAGGATGCCAAGGAGAGCCAGAGAACCGGCAGCGCTGCCTCCCAGGCCATCCAGCAGACACTAGTGAGTACATGACAATGGTCTGAATACCAGTTAAGTAGTCTTAAACGTTAGAGTGCATTTTTACATCTTGGCTTGCAATCCACCGAGCCTTTCAGTGCTTAACGACTGACCTCTATCAGGGCGGAGCCTCAACCTCATCATCTGCATTCTCATGTGAAAATGGTGGCCCTTCATCATCTTCAGCTTCAGCTTTTGCAACAGTCAACAAGGTAAGGATATAGTACTTGGACATTTAAAAACGTTTAACCGCTTCGCTTACTGACTGAAATAAAACTGATCCTACATTTCTTTTTAAAACAAAACAAACTCTTCCTTTTCAGATCACAGTTAAATCGTCTGGCAGCGCCTCGTCTTCCAAGGCAGTCTCAAACATCTCCCATCTAGTCAGGAAAAAGGTAAGCTCCGCTCAAGTATTCACAAATGTATTACTTTTATTCCATCTTGATTGCTGCAACTTTCATACCTCTGACATATCAAAGGCCAGTCATGATTTTTCAGTCCATTCTGCCTTCTGAAACAAAACCATTTGATCATTTAAAAATCCAAACCTGACATCTGACTGGCAGAACAATAACCTGTATGTTAAAACTGGCCATGTACTGCCCTCAATTTTGAAAAGTCAACGTGCTTGCCTGCTTTGGTTGTCGGGATGTCATGGCGCTCTGCTCATGTCAATCTTTAGCCTGTGTTCTGGTTTTTGTGTGAACGGTGACTTCTGTTGGTTCATGTGGTTGCGGTACGGCTTAGTGCTGTAAACAAAGCTTTTGATTTTAGTGTGTGTGCATGACACAGTGTTTGACCGTGACATATCCATATTTGGTTTCCCTCTTCCAGTCTTCTCTTCCCCTCCTTCTCACCGGTTTTTTGTTTCATCACAGAGGAAACCAGAGGAGGAGAGCCCAGTAAAGGACACTGATGCTAAACAAGCGAAACAGGAAGCCACAGTTAATGGCAGCGGTGACTCTAGTGCCAGCAACGGCAAAGGAGTCCAGGAGGGCAAATCACAGGAGGCGAGTGATGGGCTCATGTCTTAATATGAGTTTCAAAGACGGCACTCCAACTTGAAGTTTTTGCTGTGACGCTGCTACCCTGCTTTGATGAGAGATGTCTCCACAAACAGAAAATAACTACTTTCATATAGTTTCTGGTGGAGTTCCAGTCCCCCTCTTACTATGAAGTAATCTGAAAAAGCTGGCATGTTGCGGTCTACTTCTCTGGAAGGCTTATTAAAACTGCACAAAAGCCCACAAGGAAGTTGGGAGGAGTCCTTGGTAATTTGATGACTAGACTCATATGGGTTGTCATACATGATGAAACCATTGCATTGGGGAAAATGTTTGTCTTTGACCCTTGCTGGTTGTCAGTCTTTCTGCAAAATAAGTTAAGATGGGCTTCCCAGTCTTTCTGCAAAATAAGTTAAGATGGGCTTCCCCCCCCCCGCGCCCCCCCCCCCCCCCCCCGCCCCCCCCCCCGCCCCCCCCACCTGCCCCCCCCAACCCCCCCCCCCAAGTTACTTTAAGTAACTTTTTCTTTTACTGTAATGGAAGCCAAATACAATGGTGTTCTTCCACAGGGCATTTGTAAGTGGACATGCAGCATTGGCTGTTACTGTGGTTGTCTTTAGCTGTTGGACAAGCTTCAAACCTTCCTATTTTCATTACTCTAAGTTCACATATCTGTGGAACTGTCTTTTTACTGAAACAAATGAAGTCTGTCCGAAGTCTTTTTACAAGCTTGGTAAAACTGCAGACACACCAGCAGTCTGCAACTTTTCTTGAGATGAGCAGGCGGCTCGCTCAGCCTTGCCTTTGTGATAATAACTTACTGTGTTCTTGTGTCCTGTAGCCTGCCAGCTCGTCGGCCGCTGTGGGGTCTTCAGCGTGACATCCTCGCCTCTTTCCTGATCTCTGAAACCAGCACAGCATGCCTGTCCAGCCCCTCAACCTTCAACACTTTTGTTTCTGTAAATAAGATCCATTTTCATAGATTTGTCTGTCCAGTTTTGTATACTTGTAGTAAAAATGAATAAAGAATTTGCATATGTAATTTTGTTGTTGGCTTTTTATTTTTTAGCTTTACTGGAACTTGTATCAGGCTTCAACAGTTTGCTGCTGCACCTTTAATCTTGCTCAACTTGATTTGAATTCCAACAAAGTAAATGTCTTCAGCAGATGAAGATCAGAGCCCTTGTATAAACCTTCACAAATGATCATGTGTTGTGCCCTGATGTAGAGATGTTTTAGTGTTTAACCCTGACTGGTCTCTTGGTGCAGGACTTAAGGGGGCAGATACTCCACTCCTGAGGGCTGTGTAACTGAAAATTGCAGTGTTGCTTGTATGTGGACAAACGCAGGATGTGAAGAAGCTGGTGACAAGACGCAAGGTAAACAAACGGCATGACATTTAAGAATTGTTTATGTTCTGTTGAGCCCCCAGTGTTTCAATAATAAATACTCCAGTGCAATGATGGTCATTAGTTTCTCTAAAAGTGTGTTCCCTTATGTTCATATCCTACCACAACTAAATATTTAGTGATGGTTTTTGTCTGAGTCTAACATCTCCATCTTGTAACCAGATGTACACACAACTCCAGGTTCCCCCTCAATTTTACAGAAACACATACAATCTGGTTTGTCATTTACTTCCTTGCTTTACTCTACCGAACACTGCATAAGCCAGAAAAAAACCAGTCATAGCAGCTAATCTGCTGTTTAGTAAGCAACTACTGTTTACCTGTGTTGAACTGAGGACCTGAGTTGATCTGGGCAGAGTGCGCACTGGCACCCTCCAGTGGCCACTGCGCAGCTGTTGGTTTACAGAAAATCATAAAATGTTAAAACGTCAATTTTGATAATGGGAATATAGCAGATTGGGATGTCAGGGTTGCTTGATAATCTCGGATAGTTTCATGATCAACTCTGCTATAGTGCAATCATTGTAATAACCTTTGCAGGTGCAGTTTAATTTTTTTAAAGTTCTATAAAGTTGTTTTTGAGAACCACAGCATTAATTCACCTCCAGTGGTGAGCTACCACCAGGCGCAGCACCCTTTGAGACACATCTTCCCCAAGCCTTAGGTTGTGGAAAACCACAAAAACAGCTCTTAAAACCAAGAGGACTCGACTTAATTTCAAGAAAGCAAAGTTGGCTGAAACTTTGCCGGATCAGAAGATTATTTAATATGATTGAGACACAATTATTTTTAACCAAAATATGATTATGTGGTATTTGGGAGGATCGGAATGATATACTGTACAAGCAACGGCATGGGTGTCCAACATGCCTGTTCCCAGTGGAGAGGAGAAGGATCTGGCTGAAGCTGAGGAACACAGAGGTATATCATCTGTATCACTGTCACACAAACACTGTCAAAGTACCTGGAGATATTAACCAGAATTTATGAGTTTCCCTTATCTGCTGTGTTCTTTTGGGAGGTAATTTTTGAACTACAACTGTAACAGATGTACTAGTGAAAGAGCTGCATGAATGTGAGTCTTCAGCTGGAGTGGGAGTAGCTGTGGGGGAGGCGGAGGAGGGTCTCTCATGGGCCTGGGCTCCATCTCTCTGCCGTAAATCTGCAGGAAGCTCTCCCTCTGAATCAGCTCAAGGTCAGTCCTCTCTGCTGATGAACAACAAAAACAAGAAGACAACCACCCTAACTTCATTTTGGGTACAGTGTCAGAATCGCAACATATTTAACAACAAACAATAACCACATTATTCATAGACTTTCATTCCAAGAACAGTACATACCACAATGTAAACGTTTTATTAGGAGGCTTCGTAGAAACTACACTATTTTTAACATTTAATATCCTAAATGACTTCAATGTTGGGGGACGGTGATTTCATTACTTATTTTTATGTTAACACTGCAAGGAATTTCTACTGAACTTGTTCATTTTGACAAATCCCATCAGCTTTAACAGTCAGCTTTTCACAGTAGGATAAAAATGTATTTGTGAGAAATCGCCAACCGCCAAAGCTCTGGTGTTGCTCTCTGACCAGCTGCCTCCTGAGGATCCCCTCCTGCAGATTCTGGGTCAGCTCAGACCCCGCTGAAAAGGTTTCACCCCAGGAAGAGAGAACAATGATGTGGCCAAAAAGGTATTTCACCCTCAGTTTGATACCATAAGACTGTAGTGTATAGCAATTTTGAAAACAACTTCCAATGTGGGGTGTGTTTTCCTTTCAGCAAGGTAATTACACTGATGATGTGAAAATACATTTTGGCCTTCTGTCTGCAGGTCGATCACAATTTGTGCCACAATATCAGGGACCAGATTTACGCAACCTCAGTACAACTAATTCATATTTACATAAATAAACTGTGTTTGCTAGTTGGACCAGCAAATGTGGGGGGTGTACTTACGCACTTTATCGGCTCATAGCTGTCACTTTTTTATTCTTGCATTGATCTGGCTTTTCAGTGGGTACAGTGATCTCTTGCACAAAAATATACCAAAAAACACTAAATTAAATCCTATTGCGAAATCTAGGGAAAGTTTTCCATCCTAATCCACCCTAAAATAGGAAATGCTCGCATGAGGGATACCCAGGCATAATGGAAAACAGGGTTGATGAGTCATCCAGCAGCTAGGAAAGAAAAAAACTTGTTCAAATGAATATTCATCTTAGAGCAACACAAAAGAAGTCCTTTTTTTAATGCCACATCCAAATAATAATATCCATCATTATTTTCTTCTCCCAATTCATGGTATACAATACAATTCCCTCTCATACCCTATTTGAAGTTGCTCTCTCAATGTGTCCTCCTGACTGACATGATATAATGATATGCATACATGAATTTTTTATCAAAGGCTATACAATCTCCTGCAGTGCTCGGTAAGTGACACTTAAATTAAACGTGAACAGTATGCATAAAGCGTTGCCCTTACACCTTATTCCCTGTTGGGTTCTTGAGAATTATCTTAGGTAAACATATAATGGCAGTGTGGGAGTTAACAGTGGATAAATGATGGTTTAGTCATTCAGATTTAGATGGGTTTTAGAGCATGAGAGTTGAATAGTGGTTCAGTTATACCTCACGTGTAAGACCTTACTGAGCGGCACTCTGTGTCTGACTGCTTGCCTTTTATCCTCCTTATTACGACCCCCTCCACTCCACTAGAGGTCTCTGTCTTTGTGTTCTGCTTGCTGGCTCTTGTTTGTGTTTCAGGTGATCAACCTGATGAGCCACACCTGGGCCGTCGACATAAAAGGCCAACACCAACCTATACTGACCGCTCACTCTTCTGTTGGACACGGCCGCGTCTTTTTTCTGCACATTTTCACACACCCATACACGCAATCATTACTGATAACTGACTTCCACATTTATTAGGTTTCTTTGAAGACCTTTGGTTTTTGTGGTATTGCAAATAAATATACTTTTTGTTACACTTAACTTGTCTAGTCTCCCATCTTTGTTGCAGCCTATGAGCCAGGCCGTAACAAATGGGGCCTCGTCCGCGATATTGACATTGTTTCTAGTTCTGTAGTGCAGCCATCTTTGTCTGCTTGTAAGTGGATTGAAGGGCTGAGACTGATTACAGGAATCAGATCAGCTGTAACTTGGTAGACAGGTGCACCTCATTGTGTGCATGCTGGTTGGTTGGGAGACATGGACAAGTGTGGTGAGTAGATGTTTGTTTTTGTTGGATAATGTAAGCAGTTGTAATGAAATGCATGTGGGTGGTGTTTTTGTTTTTTGTCGCTAAGCTCGTTATATGGTGATTTTTGTAGCAGATTGTTGGTGGTCCTGTGAGTGTCTCTCACTTCTGTCCCTGTAGGCTTCAGAACGGATTTCCTTTGGAATTAGTTGGGGGGGTTTTAGTGTGGTGTGGACGTGGTTAGAGCTATTAGCTCGGGAGCACGTCCAAAGCTGCGGGTGGAGTTGCCAGTTGCTGGTTGCTTTACCGGGCTTGTGGGTTTCAGTGCATAAATACCCACCATAAGTAGCACCTGAAGACTAGGGGGGAGTTTAGGTAGTATTTTGTTTTTTTTGGTAGATAGAGGGACATGACTGCTGTTATCTGTGTATGTGCTATTTGAGATCGGCTGCAAATGTGTTAAGTGAGTTTACTATGTTTACATGAGTGTTTGTTATCTGTCTCGCCGTGGTTGAATAATGTTGGTGTTTTCCTGTTAGTAGTTTGATCCTGGTAAACCGTTTGGCTTTATTAGTTCTAAAACAAGTCTGTGTTTTGGTGATATCTTAGTGCAGGATGCTACAGTGGCTTATGTGTAAGTAAGTAGATGCAGGAGGGAAGTGCAAAATGGTAATGTGTTGGAAGTGTCTGCAAGTGGTTAGTTAGACCTGTAAGCTTCGGGAACATAAGCGTTGCATTTTAGGTGTCGGGTGTTTCTTCCGTTTGGTTTGATGCCGTTTCGGAGTGGTTGGGTTCCGA